TGTCCTTCGAATGAATCAAATACTAATAATGATCTTTTATTTTGTCCACCAGGTCTTTGCTTCCAAACTGCTTCTAATCATTCTTTCATCAACTCTTTATCCATCCACCTATTCTCTTGCATTCTAATAACTATTCCAGAGGGATATTGGCCTCTAGGCACTCTTTTTCTTTTGAAAATAACTATCGGAGGGAGCTTTGATCCATCCGCTAAAACTTCTAAAACTCCTAAAACACAGGTAAATCGGTTTTTATCATTCTCTGTTGTACATATAGGTACTTTTCGTGTGCTACGATCATTAATTGTATAAGCACCAACCATATCAAAGTAAACAGGAGTTTCATCCATGTTAGCAATACAGTTAAGTTCAAAATTATTATTTATTTTTAATTCATTAATAAAACTATGAAACTCGGTAACTTTTTCATGTAAGTCTTTAGAAAGTTTTTGGGAGGTTTTTGTGCGTCTGCGAAGGGAAAGGTTAAACTGATTCATAAAAAGATTAAGCCATGGGTCTGATACTTTAAAGGTATTAAGAGCATTAGAGTATGATAACTTAAACTCATTAGAGAGTAAGTTAGTTATACAAAATTTAACATCCTTAGAGGTGATTGCTATTCCTCTTTGACATTGTTCAACTATTCACCCTTTCAATGAATTTTCAGCGAGTTGATATAATAACGAAGCACTGGATTCTACTCTGCAACTTGTTTTTCTTGCGTTTTTGAACTCCTCTTCTTTCACTCACCACCTGCTGATTTGAGTATGATCGACGTTAAAGAACTGTGCTGCAGCATGATTATTTGTTTTTTTTGCATATTCAATTGCATCGAGTTTTAGATTTACAGGATAGATTTTACGTTTTCCTTTTAGCATTTTAACAAAATACAAAACTTACAAATTTTTTTGCACGACTGATCGCGAAAGGTATATATATTTATTCATATCTAATTCATACCAGATACAGTGTAACAAACAATATGTATGATTAAAGGATAACTTCAACGAGCTAATCAAACATCTCGTACTATGTAATATTTAAAGGTATCAAAAAAAGCGCAAATATTAACACCTTTCTCTTATACTTGTTTTTCATATATTATTAGTTACTTAATTTAATTTGTTAAATCTATAAAAGGAACAGGAGTATTGTAATTAGCCGAAGGGACAATAAAACTATTTAGAATTGCTAAAGTAGCAGCAGAGACACTTGAAGTAGTTGGAAAAGAAGTTGTTGGTGTCATGGGCTAATCTATGACTTTCGTCAAAGAAAAACCTAATCCAAACGGTGAGCACTTGATCACTTAGCTTATTTTGATTTCAATGTTAATACTAAGGCAAGTATTTTACTTATTATTCAAATGTGCTTTATTAATTAAGAGAGATACTAAGACTAACTCAAAACACTTTCTTCTAACTATTACATTTGCTTTTTCATATATACATACTTCGGGTTACGCTACTTACATCATAATTTGTTCATATATAATCACACGATCGTTTGACTCTTATATTACTAATGAATTACCTCATAATTCATGCATACTGGTTACTATACTTTGATTCATAATTGATTGATTGTTACTCAATCCCTTAATCTCTGATCAATTACTTATCACATGCACAAGATAATAATTAATCATTCACTTTACCTTCATTCTCATACAAGTTAACCGCATACTGTATATCACCATGACATTGGTAATGGTAATATTTTTTTTGTTTGTTAAACGGTTGCTTTTTTTTTTGTTTGTTGAGAACATGCTAATCATAATATGAAAAGAGTTCACTCAATTATTGATCGCAATCTTTATATTCATTAATTGTAATGATTGTGCGTCATCTCAATCACTATCTAATCACACTCAGAAAGATGCTTAAGAGTACCTATAATTAAAGATGAAAAGAGGTATTTGAAATCTGTTGGTGAAAATTCGAATAAACAAGGTAGTCGAGA